AATAACAATCAGCACATGTTCAGAGAGATGTGAATTTCCTTACCAATGCTTGCAGGATGTGAGTGACTGTTGACCAAAGACTAGGTGCTACAACACGCCTAAGAGGAATTTATAGTAACGTGAAATAAGGCTACCTGGATAGCACCCACATTTGGATTCAAGGATCTCCAAAGGGGAAGCACCTGAAGGTTGGGACATGGGTCCTGATTTCTGGAAGTTTCCATGGGAGCTGCAAAACACTCCCTTCTATTCCTGATTGATATGCAGCAGAGCCCTCAGAAAAGGAGATGCTTTTCTCTGATGGGCTTCACCCAGTTGGCAGCTCCTGAGGGCTCCCTGGAGGGCTGGGTTGTGACCACTCATGCATGCCCACCTCCACTGGGAAGGAGAGACAAAGCAATTGTGTTTTTCTATTTCTGTTCTCATCCCACCAGGACACACAATTAGGCAACACAGACAGCCACAGGGCACACCTCTGGGACAACATCTCTCATTACAGCCCCTGAATACTTGGCATTGTTTGAATATCATGAATCCCAGCACTGGCCTTGTTCCCCAGTCTCCAATTGGTTCAGGTGATCCTGTCAGGAAGCAGGACCTGTGTGACAATAAAGAAGCTCCTGGAGTTACCCTCTGTGGCTCAGCTTCTCCCCAGTGTAATGTGGGTCCCTTGTGTGGCAGCAGAAGCAGGAAGAAAGGACCTTGGACAGGCAGCTGATTGCAGGTGACACTCCAAGGTGTGGAGATGCTGTGGGGATCTTGTTAGGGAGGTGTGGAGTGGAATGGGGAGTCCAAGGAGGGGCCATGGTGTTCCAGTGGGGCTCATTGGAACCTTCCTGAAGGGAAGGTGTTCTAGGGCACAAGCCAGCACTGCAGATCACTTGTTGGAAATGTTCTCTAACACCTGTGTTGAACGGGGGAGATTCTGAGTTCAGTCTCATGGGAAGGGAGAAAAGGGTCCTTTCCCAGAAGCTTCCTGCCTTTTGTGGGATGAGATTTCCTACTTAATATATTGTCATATTTATTTTCATTTTGCTGCTGCGTGGCACTTCCTCTGTTAGCTTGAGTATACAGCGTGCGTCAGACGTGGTCTATTGGGAAAGCGTCATATCAGTCACGCAAATTTAAGACGCTAGATTGTGTCTTTACTAGGTGTCTCTGTCTGTTGGCCTAGCAGGTCTTATGATGAATGTCTGGTTTGTGTGTGTATTATATTGTAGGCGGGGTTGATCAGATTTTGAGATCGGAGCCTTGTTGTGTTGTGTTTAACACATGCCCACTATGAGAGAGAGAACACCAGGGTGAGAGCAGCAAGAGAAAGCGCGGCTCGTGAACGGTCGAAAATCTTGGTTGGCGCATAGCAGGCCTCTAATATGGAGAAGGCCGTGCTGGTGTGTGCTTTTTATGGTGCCAAGTGGAGCGGTTGCGAGCAGGAAGTATCAGGAAAGTGACATGGCGAAGAAACAACTTTAGTCACCAAAGGCTAAAACAATGGGGGAGATGATCATGAAGACGAGGATGGTAGGACGACCAGGTTGGTTGTAGCGACACACCAATCACCATCAGTTAGGTAAGGAGAGAGTTGGCGGTGATTTTAAGGGTTAAACAAGGTAAGATTTCGTGGAGAGCTAGAAGAGTAGAAAAATTAGAAGATCAGAAGTGTCTTATGAGAACAGGTGGTGTGGGGTGGATTGTGACGCGTTGTAGAGAAAGGAAGGGGTGTGGTGACTCAGTCTGCAGAGAGGAGCGTGTGTTGTCTATGGTGTGATTCAAGCGTGCATACGTTTATATGTGTTCGGTC